ATAGCAGTCCAAGAAGCAATTGCAGACTGCAAGCAATCGAATGAGATGCTCTGGGTGGATCTTGCCACGCAGTCGTAACACAAGGTTGTACGCGTTCTTGCTCCACCATTGGATTTCTGTCTGCCATTGACTGTCTGTGCCCTGCCGGAATATCTTTACGTTCGCCCCTGCACGCTCGAACAGCTGAACGACCTCTTCTACGACGTCGCTTGAATCTTCCTCTCGTGTCTCGAGTTCGCCGATGAGTAGTCGCGATGTGCATCTCAGCAGCGAGGGCAAGTGGGTTCCTGAGGGCTGCTTGTCTAGAAGAGCTTGGAGACCAGCGATGGCCATGTCTCGCTTTTTAGACTGCTGCGCATCCAGTACACAAGCGTACAAGAATGTAGCATCCTTGTCGGCGTATTTGGCGACTATTTGCAAGCTCTCAACCGCCAGTCCGTGGTCGGAGGACTTCAAAGCAATCTTGAACGCCAGATAGCGTGAAATAGCCTCGTTCTGGGCAGCTTGTGGCATGCCGTAGAAGTATTCGCGTGCAGCATTGCTGTCGTTAAGTGCCAATGCAGTGACGATCGCCTTTCTGCCAATCCTCGCCTTATTCAGTTGGCCAGCACTGTCGAAGATAGGATGTCTGAGCAACCTTAGCCAATCTTCTGTAACACTGAGCTCGCAGTTTCCAGCCGTCTTCCAGATAAGAGTCTGTGCGGCGTGCGTTGCTTTTGCCGAGAAAGGAACGTTCGACCGAGTAATCAATTCATCGAGCATTTGTTGCAGACCACTTGTCGCCTCGGTTGGTGACAGTCCACTTTCTGATGTGGCGAATACAATGTAGGTGATCGCTGCTTTCTCGATCCGCTGTAGCGTCGTCTGGTCCGATTGTGGGCTGGCTGCGAGATCTGGAGCAAGCCGTGCAGTGCAGAGTTGTTGCAAGGCAGCCAAGGCGCAGGATGTGCTGTGCCGCTTAGCCTTGTGTATCGTCTGCATGATGCTATGCCTACATGTTAGCTCGCTTCGCTGAGATCCACTTCGCACGGACTTACGTCTTAAAAGTCTTGTCAGTGATGACCGCCAGCTTGATCAAATGTTGCACGACTGAGCTCAGCTGATCAGTGTTCACTGGAGGGTGGCTTATCAGTATTTTGAATCGCATCAGAGTAACAGCAATCCGATTTCTCGTGCCGTTGGTGGTGTCAAGCTGGTTTACGATGGCGGAAGCTCGAGCGCGATTGCCAGCGTCGCCACTGTGCGACAACAGCACATTTACGAGTGTAGAGGCAATGGCAAGCCGGAGTTCGGAAGTGTCAGTGCTAAGGTCTTCCGGATTGCAAGCGTCCAATGCGCTGGATGCTCTTTCGCACCATTTGACTGCGGTTTCCGTATTCCCAGCTGCCGCAAGCGTCTTACCAGCTTCATAGAATAGTTCTGCTGCCCTTTCCGTGAGTGTCTCAGATACTGTTAACCCGCTGGTGCTGACCTTCGAGAAGAAATGGTCGGCCAGATCAAAGCGGTCCGTCTTCCAGCCATGGGTCATGCGTAGCAGGTAGTACTCGCAAGTAAGGTTCTTGAGCGTGCGCTGTGAACCATCTTGTCTGCTATCATGGGTGTTCGCAATCTGCAGTATTGGCGCATCCTCCTCGGTTGCGCTCACGTACTCCGCGGACCTTTGGAAGATCTTCAGTGATAGTTCAAATTCTCCGTGGTCAAGACAAAAGCGGCATGCCTTGTTGGCGAGTTTGAAGCAGCGAATGCGCTGATCCTGATCTTTCGTCCGTTGCGAGGACGTAAGATTTGTGGCGTCCAGCAAGAGGAAGGAGAAGGTCCGAAGAAGAGCGACCAGGCGTACAGTTTCTCGCCCCTCGGGAAGTAGGTCACCCTGGTTCTCTTCTTGGCGGAGTATATTTGTGGCAGCGTTCCAAAGCTGGGTGCCGTGGGCGTCGAACGCGAGTGCTTCGTGGGCGAGTAACGTGGATCTCGGAAGTGAGAATGCCCGTTCGATATCCCTTTGGACCTCACATTGTAGACCTTCTGGGAGAGGTGTGCGTTCGGTGATTGTCCGACGTAGGCTCTTGGCCAAGTCTGCGCCATGGTGTCAGCAAGATCGGTCGCGTGTGTGTCAGTATGGAGAAGTAGAAGTGACGTTGGGTGTACCTAGGCTCTGCTGCACACGCCCGTCGTTCACACTCTTCTTCGCAGGCTTAAGCGGCGCCATAGGTACATGCTGCTGCGGTTGCGGTCAAACCTTGGTGCTTTTTGGGATGAACTTCTCATGAGATGCAGAATGCGGTATGTTTTGAAGATCTGAGATGACCCGGGAATTAAAGAGAGATGAGGTTGGAAGAAGATTGTGAGGCTGCATCGCTCCTTCCCATTATTCCCTACCGGCTCAGCAGCAGCTTACCTGACCTACCTTACGCTCCTAACAACATCTGCACCGTTCCTACTACATTCCCGATACTTCAGCAGTACGACGATTGGGGCCACGTTGGTGCTCTATATCCTGCATGAACTCACAAAGCCGAGGATCTATGTCCAGGTCTGACCAGACTCTTATCATGTTTGCAACTCTCTGATGTCAAGAGTGCAGCTTCTCTGTACATACCTTAGTACGAAGCTGCGAACGGATCAGAATCCAAGTTGCCTTCGAAGTCGCCAACGCTGCCGCGTTCCATGCTCTGCATGCAGTCAATGGCATCCGTGGCCCCAAGGAGCAAAGACGCCAACGCCAACGCCAACGCCAACGCCAACGAGGCGCGCCCAGAGTCTTGTGCAGCGATGAGATGCGAGAGCCTACCAAGGTCCGCGCGCTGCTGGAGACCCGAAACAATGCTGCCAAGCAATGTTGTCACACATGAGAAATGTCGACGATTAGAAAGGAACGAACAAGTATAATAGTGGTCAAAGAAATGCCGGAAGACCGCGGAAAGGCCAGATGTTTCTTGCAGAAGATTCACCACAACAGCGTTGGCAGCGTCTTTGCTCGGCGCTGCTCACCTCTCCAGCGTCCGCGGCTATGCCGGCTTGGTATTGTAGGGTAAGATATCCTCCGAAGCCCTGAGCAAGATTGGAAACTCCGCTGTCGGTCGATCCAAATCCATCTGCCGTTTGCCGTTCTACTTTGTCCAGGCCAGGTAAGATCCATCTTACCTAACCAGCGTGGAATGCTTGGAGATGACGCTCTTGGAACTGGGCATCGTATACGAAAAGCCAGTTCCACTTTGCGCCAACAACGTCCAAGCCCTCCTAAAAGGCGCCGGGAGGCAGGTGTTACAACTATTGTCTCAGCAAAGCTCGGCATCGCAAACGCTCTGCAGTGTATGCGTATGCGCCATCTCCATACCACTGTACAGGTGATCTCATTGGCTCCAACTCTACGAAGCCTTGGCTGCCAAGCTCCAAGTGCACTTGGCGATTTGGCCATGATCACAGTAAGACGAAGGCATCCACCACCGCCTCGTCGCCAAGGTCGCGGCGAGACGGGGGTGAGGCGGACAGCGCTCTACATATGACCTGCCCACCACCCTCTGAGGATGGGCTGGGTACATCGGGTAATGGAGCATTGATGTCGCCATTAAACACGCCTCTCTTCCAAGACAGAGGATCAACGAGGCTACACAAATCACTGTCACAATGACTGAGAACGCCTTGGCACCAAGCAGTCACGCAGGGCGGCCGCAGCAACACACCTCAAGTGGACAGGATCCTTTCGCAACCCCGACTGTAGAGTCTGTCCAACCCCCAATGCCATGCGCACGACCTCCGCACGATCCACGATTTTCGCAAGACCCAACTGCAATCCGGCAAAGCGAGCAGACGAGCCGAAGGCACGATCGGTCGACACGACCATCATCAGGCGATGAGTCGCTCCACTCTCGCTCTGTGTCATCGAACGGCGGCAGCCCCCACACGACCCCAATGTCCTCGCTCGACCTGGAGAAGAGCAGCATAGCGCATGAGCAAGCACCGAGACGCACGGTGCGAGACCCTGAGAAGGCAATGCATAGCGGGACGAACAGCCCAAGGAGACAGCCGAATATAGGCGACTCCATAAGCATGACATACTCTGCAGACGATAGCGATGAAGACGAAGAAGGACGAAGATTGCAAGAGCAAAACGCATTCAAGATCTTATTCTTCCTCTCCGGGCCTTGCCTTGTGCTCTCCGCCTTCAATGCTGTCTGGACTTGCATATCGCTCATCATAACCGTGCTCACGCAACCCGTGCGACTCTGTGCGAGACGCCCGAGCTTCGGCCAGCAAATGGGAGGCCTACTAGGGCCTGCCTTGAACCTTCAGCTGAGAGCCATCTACACACCGTTAGCACCGCACGCCAACGAAGACATGTCTTACTACAGCTCGACCCTGCTTGTAGTGCACATACTCTCGCCGTTCCTGAGCTTCGTCCTGATGTTCATGGCGTGGGTACTAGCGGCGTACTGGCTAGTATCGACCATGATTGGCGATCCTGCCGGCTTGGATAAGAGAGACGACGGGAGAGAGTCTGTTTTGTCGCTGCGAGGATGTTGGGAGTACTGGCTGATGCGAAGCGTGAAGGATGAATGAATGAGTTTCACTGGTGTTTATGATACCCGACAGTTGTGCGTTGGCGAGGCGTTAGCTGGGTCATGATTGTTCAACAGAGATATCCTGGGTTTAGCGAGGCGTTAAATTTGATGTAGCTAGACGATAGCCGCTGTAATGGCCACCGGTGTAAGAACACATGGAGGTATACCATAATGTCTGCTTGATGAAGCATAATAAGTCGTTCACTTGCACACTTCCTCTCATCAGCTCAGGCTGTTCAGCCTGCCCCTTGGAAGATGATGATTGCCTTTTCGATCAGCATGCATCTAGTGCTGAGGTTGTCTCATCGCAGATCGACTGGACTGTCTTCTTTTGCCCTCGCATGTGAAAGATCCAGTGTCCCTCCACGTATTGACAGGTGATTCTATTGATCAGTCATTATATACAATTTGTTCTGCTCACCCCACATCAATTCCCACCATTCTTCATTGGTCTAGTGGTCATGATTTCCGCTTGTCAAGAACGTCGTTCAACAAGCGCGGGAGACCTGGGTTCGATTCCCAGATGGAGAGAATTGCTTTTGCTTTTGACTACCTAGGTATATACACTGCAACAACTTTTTTGGCAATCACCCGAGCTATCCAGGTGTCTCCATGGTGCTTGCGACGACTTAGGCAGCCGGACCAAATCAAAACGACGATGGATGACTGATACCTCAGTGTTCTTGCCAAGCCCTGCTTCAAGATACATATACTGTATCGCTTGCATGCTACTCGGACTCTTGATAATCACGTTCGCTCGGTCTACTGCAGTCTCTGCTGTCTCGTACACGACAGATGGCTCTTGCTGAATCTCCAGTGATCTCGCGGTCTCAAAGCGACGGTGAACAGGCGCTGAAGTAGCTGTTTACTCACATGTGATCCATAGCGGATGACTCAATGCCTCTGACCATTGTACTACAGGTATATAGACACGTGCCAATCTCCTCTCCTCCGTTGTCATCCACACACACTTCACCATGGAACAGGCAGCCGAGCACAGCGACAGCAAGCCCATCGTCGAACTTCCATCCGGCCTCGCCCATCCGTGAATGGCGACACAGCGACATCAAAGCCATCGCCCACCACGGCAACACTCGCAAAGTCTGGGACAGCCTACGCAACCGCATGCCACACTCTCATACCGAAACCGCCGCGCAAGGCTGGATTGAACATTAGCCTCGACTCGTCCTCTCATGTCCGCTCTGGTGCATGGATGCTAAAGACGGGCTCCCAAGGCCCGGCTATCTCGACAAATTTCGCCGTCGCGTTCAAGGACGAGGCGAGCGGAAGTATTGGTCTGGAAGTTCAGAACGGTGTTTACTTTCGGACCGCAAAGGTCGGGTATTGGCTTGGATTGGAGCACTGGGGTAAAGGCATTATGTCGAGGCTGGTTCCGCCTTTCGTGCAGTGGGCGTGGGAAAGTTTCGATGTGCTGGGGAGGTTGAATGCCGAGACTGCTGAGACTAATCTAGCAAGCGGTAAGGTGTTGCATAAGGCTGGGTTCAAGTTTGAGGGTAGGAGACCAGATGTGGTCTGTAAGAATAGAGCTATTCTGGCAGTGCTTATGTGGGGCGCGATGAAGCCGAGATGAAGGACGCTGATGAAGGTGTGAGCATCGACATTAGGTCAATGAGACCCGGCTCTGCACGTACCTAAGTTTCAGCAGGTCAGTAGTAAGGGGGTACTATACGTATACAATACATACACCTCTTCTATGCCCAGGGTATCGAGCTTGCCATAAGACAAAAACGTACTCGCTATAATTCAAGTCCATCATCCCCCTTTTCCTCCGCCTCCAGCTGCAACAAATGCCAGAGAGTATAGACACCTCTCCAAACGCTCGTGTTCGCATGTTCAAAGATATGCACATAGCCGTGGCAATCTAATCAAAGGGCGCAGACCCGCATCTCGGAGCCGGTGTCGGCGTGCTGAGGCTCTCCCGTCGCGGTGTACCACGAAAAGGATCCTACCCGTTCATAGCCGCCTGGACGTTCTGCCATCTCTGCTGGAGGGTTTCGTGGTCCGCCCGTGCCTGTGCGAATACAAGTCAGCATCGTTTCCAGATCCGACTAAGACTTCGATGTACGTACCTGCGCAGCTACCATCTTGGCCTCTACAACCGCCGCCTCCAGTTCCTCACATTCCTCTTTCAAGCTCCGGTTTTCATTCTGGACTTCGATGTTCCTTTGCATGATCCTTTCCATTTCGTCTTTGAGCTTGGCTTCTACCTCCGCCGGCTGTGCATCGGCGATCTTGCTCAGTTCTTCCACCTTCATCTTGAACCCCTCGTTCTCGTCTAGCAAGCGGTCGTTCTGGAGCTTGAGGTTCACAAGCTCAGACGCAATGAAGACGTGCTCGGTATCTTGCTCTTGGGTTCGCGATTCTAAATCGCGGACACGGGATGTCAGGGTCGTTGAAGCGGCGCGGAGAGAGTCAAGTTCTTCAGTGCGGGAAGCTTCAGAGCGAGTCTGTTCCTCCCACTCTGCGGTGTAGAGGCTGAGCAACTCATCGCTGACTTTCACCGAGCAAGCATCCCGCACCATCTCGTCAGCTCGGTAGAGCTCTTTATCGGCGCCACCGCTAACAGAGCCGAAGAAACCCGTTTCCAGTACACTCTTAGCATCAGGGCTCTTGTCGATGTAGACGTCGAACAGCTTCTCCTTCAGGAAGTTCGACAGACTGCTCATGTCTTTCATGGAGAGCAGCGCCTCGCGGTTCCGTTGCATGAGGACTATGCCGAATCTGAGAATCGCGGTCAGACCTTCCGACAGAATCAAGTCGTGAATCCTGAGTACTAGCTGCAGTGGGAATCGATACGCGAAGAGCGTCAAGAACCACTGCGTCGCATACAATTGCGGTGCAACGTGTCGTCTTTTTAGATGGCAGTACAGCGCGGGCTCCAGATCCTCGAGCAGCCTTTCAAACTGATAGAGCCGGAGGTGCAAACCCTCCATGACGGGCGTGAACATGCTGCGGAGATCATACTTCGACATCAGCTTGACAAGCAGCGTAAATGCCTCTTCCTCGCTCATGTTGAACAGGAGCGGCATGGCTATGAAGTTGATGCCTTGTGCGTAACCGACGCCTTCGTCGAAGAGGGCGTAGGCTTTGCAGACGCCGAACAACCCATCTTGCAGCCCTGCGCTCTGCGCATACTTCGAGAAGCTCGTACGGGCCCCAAGATCGCGGCGGATGGTCTTCTCCAACTTCTGCAACGCGGCGGACTCTCGTTTTTGCTTCTCAGCGAGCAGCTTGGCGGTGACTTCGGTGCTCTGCTCCTGTACCGAGGGCGGGGGGCTTGTCATAGCGCTGGTTGCGGGCGTGGGACTCGATCCATCACTGTGTGTACTGGATCGTGAGCTGGAGACGCTTTTCGCATCACTCGCTCCGTTCGTCATCACAGTCTGCGACTCATGACGGGACATGGGCGCTGGCCGTAGACCCTGCTCTACCTTACTTGCGTCGGTACCACGTGATTTGAGCGTCTTGTAGATCTGTTCCAGTTCCTCGTTCTTACTCTCGGCCAACACTTGCCACACGACACCTCTTATTGCAGGCGGTATTCCATCTGCGATGGCTTCCCGCAACTCTTCGCCACTGCTCCTTTGCACGGTCGATGGACCCTCGTAGACGACCTGTTGCCACAGGTCCCAATTTACCGGCTTTGGCTCTTCAGGAGCTCCGGCTGTAAGGCCAGAGGCAGTCCCAGGAGGCAATTTCGGGTTCAGCGGAGGCGACTTCATCACTCCGGGCGTACTCAGTGCCCTCTCCGTCCGTGTATCACTATCTTGGCTTCGGCGAGTAGGGCTGGAGGGCACGTCCGCGTCACTCTGCGACCGCATCACGTCCATCTGGTCTTTGTCAGCCCCAGATAGGGATGCATGGCCGTTCGCACCGCTCAGGGTGAATTCCTCCTGTCTCCTGAGACTCTCAAATTGCTCTCTTAAGCCAGGCCTAGGCGTAGCCTCCCCAGCATCAGGTATACTAGCCAATGCGCTTGCGGTACTATTCGTGCTTGCTGCAGTGTCCCTTCTTCGGAATCGAGGGCCTTCTCTTGGTGCATCAGGTGAGCGGGCTTTCCTGATGCTACCCATCCTGCCTAGAAAGCCAGCGAACCCGCCTTTCTTCGCGGCGCCAGCTTGTGCAGCTGGAGGAGGTCGCTCGCCCACATGCCGTTGTTCTAGATTATGCTGTCGGTCGGCCGTTGAGGGAGGAGGAGCGGAGTCTACGACGAAGTCGCCAGAGAGACCGCGCATGTGCTTGGTAGGCGATTGACGGCCGGACTTGCTTGGTGACATGCTAGGGTCTCGGGAGTGCAGGTTGGACTTGGAGGGTGGTGAGCTCGCGGGGGTGGCATCCGCTGTAGCGTCGCCCGTTTTTGGTACTGAGGGTGTGCCCTGCAGCTTCTCATTCGTGCCATCGATACCTAGTCCATGTTCCGTCTTAGATTCACTCTTGTCCTTGTTCCCGTTCACCTCCCCTGCCGCCTGATCCTCACCATCGTCCTTGGCCTCGGGCCTGGGCGTATCATCGTTCGCATCCTCAAAAGTGTCCTCGTCCTTCTCTGACATAGCAGTTTCGCCTTCTGTGTCGTCTTTGATCTTCATTTCCGCCGCAACGTCCGCCATACTCATGCGCTTGCCCGCCCAAGCGGCGGCACCGGTTTTGGGGCCCCTGCCTTTCCTACTTCCTCCTGGCGACTTCGAATTCGGTCTCAAGCTCTTCCTTCGATCGGGTATACCGGGTGCTTGGTTGCGTTCGCTAGTTGTGGGCGAGTGCACTGCAATGTCTGGTGGTGAGGGTTGAGAAAGCTGCTCGATAGCAGTTGCTATAGCGTCTGTATTATTATGATCGTTGTTGACGGCAGGTGGAGACCGTGGAGTAGAGGCAGATAGAGTTTCTTGGTCTACCGTCGTCCCTGCAGCTGCATTAATGCTGGAAGAGGGCCTGGACGGCAAAGCTACCGGTCCAGACACAGCAGATGCCTCGGAGGTGGTGGCCGCTGGCGTTGTATCACTCAAGACTTCCACTTCTGCCATCATGGACTACTACAACAAACCGTAATGTCACATGTACGCGGCAACAGGGCCACCAGGATGAAATTTGAGCATGATGGCTTTGTGGACGATGAGGTCAGCAATAGACCTGTGCCTGGCTCGACTCGCAAGCAACGAGCAACCAGGGGTAACGATACACGTCAACGCAGGCTAGTCGACAAGGAAGTGGCGAGACGGATGGGTTGATGGTGATAAGAGATCGATCGATAGATGCGCGTCGCTTCTATCCCACGCACGCCGGCGACGTCCAGATGCCTGTAAACCGTACGCTGAAGCGCGTCTCTGAATGCCATCAATCGATCGAGACAACACCTGAACGACATCTGAATGGATCGAAGAGCTGACATCGCCGCCGTTGCCACTGCGTGAGCCGAATATATATAGGAACGGGAAAGCCGAGCCGCTGGAACTGGGGTGGGTGGTGGGGTCTCTATCTGCTGGACCTTGCTTGACCTCACTGCTCACAACTCTCTT